TCAAAAAAAAAAAAAAAAAAAGTTTGTATGTGAAAATTAGATTTAAGTATTATTTAAAGTCTAATGAAACCATCTTTGCAAAGATTATGACAGTGAGCGAAATGTAACATGGCTGACTCCATCTTGCTTCTAGTGTCACAGGCTGGCTATCTTCCCATTCCTGGGCCCAGGCCAAGCTAACCATGGGAGAAATTTAGTTTATAGTTTAACTTTCATACAAGGATGATAACAGTCCTTCCCTAAAACCGATCCCTCCTCGTTCAGAGCCTGAGATCACCTTTGCAAGACTAACGAAAGGCCAGATTAGGATTATGGGAAGGGCCTGAACTCTGCTAAAATATGCACATAGTTTCTATAATCCCTCACTGCTCAGAAGTCATGTGGCCAGAGGGCACAAGGTATGTGACTTCCCTAATTGCTCCTATAGGTAACATTATTATTGTAGAACCTCAGATTGTTTTTTTTTGAGATGTTTTTTCAGACTGAGCCCTCTAGAACTCAGGCCCCTCACCCAGAGGTACAGAAGGACCAGCTCCCATATCCTTGGGATTATACCCCCAACCAATCAGCACAACCCATTCCCTAGTCACCTAGGAATAGTCACCACCAAACTATCCTTGAAAAACTCTAATCTCCAAGTCTTCAGGGTAACTGATTTGAGTAATAACTTCGTCTCCTGCATGACCAGCCTTGAGTTAATAAAACCTTCTCAACCGCAAAGGGTAATCTCAGTGAATTGGTTCTGTCTGTGCAGTGACAGGAAGAAGCTGTCAGGTGATTATACTATGAACAATGTAAACCTACGCAATGAGTATCTCTAGTATCCAGATTACAGCCTCTAATACCACTGCCTCCACCCCACCCCCAAAAGAAGTCAGGAATCTCTGGAGGAATGTCCGATTCCAGTTTTGAGGCAAGAAATGCACAGAATATGCCAGGGTCATCTTCTTGTGCCAGTTTTTACTAGCTACAGTCATACTTTTCTTTATCTTACTCTGCGCTATTATGCTTCATTTTATTGTACTTTGCAGACACTGCATTTTTTTTTTTTTTTAATAAAATTGAAGGTGTGCAGCAACACTGTGTTGAGCAAATCGACTGGCATTATTTTTCCAACAGCATGCGCTCATTTCATGTCTCTGTGTCACATTTTGGTAATTCTCACAATTTTTCAAGCATTTTCACTATTATTATATCTGTTAGGTGATCTGTGATCAGTAATTTCTCACGTTACTATCATTGTTTTGGCGGCACCACTAACTGTGACCATACAGGATGGTAAACTTGACAAATGTGTGTGTTCTGACTACCCCACTCTTTCCCCGTTTCTCTATTTCTCTTTGGGCCTCCCTACTCCCTGAGACATCACAATACTGAAATTAGGCCAATTAATAACTCTGGAATGGCCTCTAAATATTCAAGGACAAGGAAGAGTCAACATGTCTCTCACTTTAAATCAAAACCTAGAAATGACTAAGTTTAAAAAGGAAGGCATGTGGAAAGCTGGGATAAGCCAGAAGGTAGGTCTCTTCTACCAGTTAAAGTGCTACTCCAGTGAATACATGAATAATGATCAAAATCGCCTTGCTACTGAAATGAAAACGTTTTAGTGGCCAGAAAGAAGATCAAACCAGCCACAACATTCCCTTAAGCCAAAGTCTAATCCAGAACAAGGCCTTAACTCTTCAATGTTGCGAGAGATGAGGAAGCTGCAGAAGAAAAGTTAGAGGATACAGGATGCAGGTTCGTGAGGTTTAAGGAAAGAACACAACACAGTATAAAATGCTAGGTGAAGTAGCAAGTGCTGATGGAGAAGCTGCAGCAACTTATCCAGAAGACCTAGCTAAGGTCACTAATGAAGGTAGCTATTCTAAACAACAGGTTGTCAATGTTGATGTAAATTGGAAGAGGGTGACATCTAGAACTTTCATAGCTAGAGAGAAGAAGTCAATGCCTGGCTTCAAGGCCTCAAAGGACTTTGAAGGACTCTCTTGTTAGGGGCTAAGGCATCTGGTGACTTCAGATGGAAGCCAATGCTCATTTACCATTTTGAAAATCTTAGGGCCCTTAAGAGTTATGCTACATCTACTCTGTGTTCTATAAATGAAACAACAAAGCCTGGATGACAGCACATCTATTTAAAGCATGATTTACTGAATATTCTAAGCCTACTGCTCAGAAAAAAGATTTCTTTGAAAATATTCCTACTCATTGACAATGCACCTAATCATCAACATAACTAGTCATCCAATAGCTCTGATGGAGATACATAAGGACATTAATGTTATTTTCATGCCTGCTAACAACAACATTCATTCTGCAGTTCATGGATCAAGGAGTAATTTTGACTTTTTTTGAGACAGGGTTTCACTCTGCTGCCCACATTGGAGGCGCAATCTCAGCTCACTGAAACCTCCACCTCTCAATTGATCCTCCCACCTCAGCCTCCTGAGTAGCTGGGATTACAGGAACATGCCCCCATGCCCAGCTAATTTTTTTTTTTTTTGGAGAAATGGGAATTCACCATGTTGCCCAGGCTGGTCTCCAACTCCTGGCCTCAAGCAATCTGCCCATTTTGACCTCCCAAACTGCTCAGATTATAGGCATAAGCCATCATGCTAAGCTGACTTTCAAGTTTTATTATTTCAGAAATACATTTTGCAAGACTGTAGCTCCCCAAGAAAAAGTAATTCCTCAGATAGATCTAGGTAAAGTAAACTGAAAACCTTTTGGAAAGGATTACCATCCTAGATGCCATTAGGAACATTAGTGATTCATTGGGAAGAGGTAAAAATATCAACACTTAGAAGAGTTTGAAAGAAGTTGACTCCAATTATCGTGGATGACTTTGAGGGGTTTGACTTCACTGGAGTAAGTAACCACAGAGGGGCACGGTGGCTCACGCCTGTAATCCCAGCACTTTGGAAAGCCAAGGCGGATGGATCACCTGAGGTCAGGATTTCGAGACCAACCTGGCCAACATGGTGAAACACTGTCTCTACTAAAAATACAAACATTAGCTGGGTGTAGTAGCAGGCGCCTGTAACCCTAGCTACTCGGGAGACTGAGGCAGGAGAATTGCTTGAACCCGGGAGGCGGAGGTTGCCGTGAGCCAAGATCACACCATTGCATTCCAGCCTGGGTGACAACGCCGAAACTCCATCCCCCACTCACCCCTACCCCAAAAAAGAAAGTAACTGCAGATGCGGTGAAAAAATCATGAGAAGGAAAATTAGAAGTAGAGCCTGAAGATGTGACTGAGTTGCTTCAATCTTATAATAAAAGCTAAACAGCTCTTGTGGATGAGCAAAAAGTGATTTCTTGAGTTGGAACCTATTTCTGGTGAAGATACATTGTTGAAAGTACAACAAAGGATTTAGAATATTATATCAACTTAGTTGAAAAAGCAGCAGTGGCATTTGATAGCACTGACTCCAATTCTGAAAGAACATCTACTATGGACAAATGCTATTAAACAGCATCAAAAGCTACAAAGAAATATTTCATGAGTATTTGCTCCATCAATACAGCAAACTTCATTGTTGTCTTATTTTACAAAATTATCACAGCTACCTCTACCTTCAATAACCACTACCCTAATCAGTCAGCAGCTGTCAATATACAGGCAATTCCCTTTTCCAGCAGAAATAGCATGACTTGCTGAAGGCTCAGATGATCATTAGCAATTTTTGGCAAGGTGTACATTGGTTAGCAATGTATAAGGTGTACACTGTTTTCTTAGATATAATACTATTGCATTTAGTAGATTATAGTATAAGCATAACTTTTATATATACTGAAAAGTCAAAAAATTTGTGTGACTCACTTTATTGCAATATTCACTTTATTGCAGTAGCCCAATCCAAACTTGCAGTATCTCTGAGGTATGTTTGTATACAGAAGAAAAATCCACCCTCTTGAATGTTTACTAAAACAGTGAAATTGTAAATACAACATAGCTATTATCTATAAACAACCATGTCTATAAACAGCAAGCTATGAATTTCATTTTTTTCCATAATTCCCTATAAGAAGAATCACTTGAACCTGGGAGGCAGAGGTTGTAGTAAGCTGAGACAGCCATTGCACCCCAGCATGGGCAACAAGAGCAAAAACGAAAGAAATAATCAGTAAGATGTGACCAATTTTATAGTGTTTAACCATGAAAAAGGGTTGGCACTCACAAAGTGTACTTACAATTACAGATTCAACTCTCTGGTTCTACAAGAATTCATAAAAAGTAAAACACTCTCATTTTTGGACAATAATTTAATGTAATAATTTTCCCTAAAAGAATGGAAACAGCTTTGTTTGCTCAAAGTATTGATGATAAAAAATACAATTACCTTAAGTATTTGTCTAGTATATATCAGAATAGCTAATGGCTATTTATCACATATGCAGTATTTATATAGTACTCTATGATGATAATAGGCTTTACACTTCACAACATGGAATCACATTACAGAAACCTCAGAGTCATGCATACTCACCTCTGCTGTCATTCTAGCAAATAAGTCAGGAGGAATATTCCCACAGAGAACATTTTTCCTTAAATTTGGATTCTTTGCATCTTTAAGATTTGATATCCTACTTCGTACTCTATTTTTGTATTTCATGTCTGTATTCCTTATTTCTTGATATATAGGTACGAAGCCATTAAGGAAAAAAGGTAAAATTATAAAAAATAAGATCACTTCCTGCCCTCATTCTGCCAAAGTAAGAATTCCTGAAATTTCTAAGCAGTTCACAACAACTGTTTCCAATTTAGACTATGTTAAAAACAAGGTACTACATCTAATTCCTTGAACTGAAATGGGCAAATAATAGCAATATTACTTTTCCACTATAAACTAGTTGTGTTTTTTGGGTGAGGCAGGGAGGGGAAGAGACTCTTGCTCTGTCACCTAGGCTGGAGTGCAGCAGCGCAGTCTCAGCTCACTGCAACCTCCACCTCCTGGATTCAAGCAATTCTCCTGCCTCAGCCTGGGATTACAGGTGTGCCACCATGCCTGGCTAATTTTTGTATTTTTAGTAAAGACAGGTTTTTACCATGTTGGCCAGGCTGGTCTCCAACTCCTAACCTCAGTGACTCGCCCGTCTTGGCCTCCCAAAGTGCTGGGATTACAGACACGAGCCACTACGCCCAGACTAGTCATGTTTTATTTCCTAAAGGTTTAGTGCCAGCACCATGCAAGTCAACAGCATTTCAAAAAGTAACTCAAGTACTCAACGTTAGAAAGCATGTGTTTTAAAAGGAGCTTGAACTTTTTCAAACTTTACTTGCTCAAATCTGAATTCTACTAAGGAACCTGAAAGTCTTTCTGGTCACGCAGTTCCCGTAGGGTCTCTGAGAAGAGACTGTTCAGCATGGTTGTAGGGATTCATCTCCTCCCCTAGCTCAGCAGGAGCTACCTAGCAGGCTCTTTTCATCTGCAGAAGAGGCCACTGCCAAAGCTGAACCCTGGAACAGCTCCCTTCCTAACAATCAGGAATTTCCTCAACCAGGACAGTCCCACGTTACACAGCTGCCTAGATGTTCCGGGCCCCTACCCACACACAGTCCCCCTCTCCTGGAGCCCTTTCCCAGTGCTCAGTATGAACACGCTTCCTCTGGGATAATGAGCTCAAGTGACTGTGTGAACTGAGGTCCTGAGAAGTCTTCACATTTACATGTGTGTGTGCTTTCCATGCCCTTCTGCACAACTTAAATTCAGACATTACATTCTCTATATACAAGGCAGAAAAAATTTAAATACCATCAATACTGTACTTTACTTTTAAATAACAAAAAGAAAAAACAAGACAAATAAAATGGTAAACATGTTCCACTCCTTTCCAAGAAAACAAAACATTCAAGATAGAAACTGAAGAATAAGACTGAATTCTATACCAGCAGGAAAAGTTGTAATTAAGCTAGGAAATTACTTAAAACAATTACGAGTATATACAAAAAGGATATCTTCTTCAATTTGAGATCCTAATTCTTCCTCATCAGCTCCAATTGCAATGTAGTCATCTAAAAACAGGCATAAAGAATTGTCAAGTTATTATAACAGATTAAAAGAAAATTCTAATACCAGGTAATTAAATTGCATTTCTGTTTCTTCAACCCCATTTGCCTGACATAAAGAAGCCAGTCAGTTTAGCTTCATTAGAATCTGGTCTCTTCTAAACCATGTCCTGTGCTGTAAAAGAAAAAAAAAAAGAAAGAAAGAAAGAAAAAAAAAGAATCTGGTCTCTTCACTGTCCACTAGACTTCCTTTTCTGGGATTCACCTGATACCCACAGTGCTCCTGCACTGATGACTTCTGATCCCTCAGGCACGGGAAGTAACTGATCTAGCAGGCAACTCCTCTTTCATAACTCCATAAATTCTGGCTGCTCCAGTAGAGGGTAGAGAAAGTTACAGAAAGACCTGTCTTGTCTCCTGCTACTCAGGCTTCAATGCAAAGAAACCATCCATTTAATCTGCCAATCACACATACACACTCCTATACAAATATTCAAAAGGACAGAAGGAAATAAACTAGGAGAATATATATACATACATATTCTATACATATACATACATATATATGTATATGTGTGTGTATGTATATATGTGTGTGTGTGTGTGTGTGTGTGTGTGTGTGTGTATTTGAGGGGAGAGAGAGACAGTAAGGAAATCAAAGTAGAAAGGGCAGAGTAAGGAAAAAAAAAAAAAAAAAAAAAAAAAAAAAAAAAAAAAAAAAAAAAAAAAACAAAAAAAAAAAACAGGTCAAACTAGCTATGGTCCAGAATAAGAAAAAAGAAAAAGGATGAATTTGTATAAGATGACAAATATTCCTATATATAAAACTTTAAAGCCAAAACATTACTTGTTAAGACTGGATCCTTTCAAATCAAATTAAGCTCCCACAAATAAATCAAGCCCCCTCCCTTTTTAAAGTAGAAAATGGAATTATTAATACAAAACTATATGTCATACTATTTATTTAATAATTCAGTATTGTTAACTCTCAATATAAGATCAGGGTACATAGTTTGCTGATTAAATTGTGGGGAAACAAAAGATTTGTGAGAAAAAAGTGTACATTACTATGAAATCAGGGAAAACATCCATGTATTAGAGGGAATCTATTTCTTGCAATTACACTGTAACAAGCAAATGCCCCAGTATTCCTCCTCCTCTCCCACTTAACAGATCACTATCAGCAACAACTTCTCCCTGAGCAAAGCAGCACTGGGTGGCTATGCAGAGGGTGACACTCATCAAACAGCAATATGGCAGCGGTTGGTGGTGATGACCAAAGGGCTGAGAAATAAAACAACATGCACTGGACTTACCTCCTGTTCGAAGAGCTGCCGCAAGCATCTCCCTACACTTCAACCGCACAGAATCAGAAGTGCTGGGTGCCCGAGGAAAGGATGAAACGTAAGTATCTCGGGCATTTCTCTCATCCTTTCTGTTGCTTACATTGCCGCTGGAGGTACTGAAATACGCACACACAAACACCCCAAAAAGAAATCAAAAACAATCCTCTCAAAGTAACAATATTACCATCATGCAAACTTACTATCATAGGGCCTAAAAAAATGACACAGTATCTCAGTGGCCTTTATGTGAGGGAAAATACATTATCTGCATACAGATTAAACAGAAGTTAAAAATTTTACAATTTAGTAAAGAGACTAGGCTCATGTCTTTTTAAAAACCCAACTAAACATGTTATCTTGATTCTCCTTTTAAATATTAAGCAATTTTTTTCTTTTTCTGAGACAAGAGTCTTGCTCTGTCACCCAGGCTAGAGTGCAATGGCACAGGTCTTGGCTCACTACAACCTCCACCTCCCAGGTTCATGTGATAGATTTGCCTCAGCCTCCCGAGTAGCTGGAATTACAGGCACTCTCCACCACGCCTGGCTAATTTTTTTATTTTTAGTAGAGACGGGGTTTCACCATGTTGGCCAGGCTGGTCTCCAACTCCTGACCTCGTGATCTGCCTGCCATGACCTCCCAAAGTGCTAGGATTACAGGCATGAGTCACCACGCTTGGCCAATATTAAGCGATATTTTTAATAGAGAAAATACCCATTACAGTTCAGTACAATAAATGAAAAGTAATGATCTTGGTATGAGAAGAGGGATGAAGGGATGAGACAAGAGAAGGACAGCTTTCAACTAAAACTAGAGACAGCAAGCTCAGAGAGAGGGAGGGAGGAAGAGAAAGAAGGGGAGAGAGAGAGAGCGAGGGAGAGAGGAAGGGAGGGAGGGACGTGACAGAGAGAGAGAGAGAGAGAGAGAGAGAAAGAAAGAGAGAGAGAATGCTTGAAAAACCCTGTTTCACTGGGCATGGTGATTCATACCTGTAATCCCAGCACTTTGGGAGGCCGAGACCTGCAGATCAGTTAAGACCAGTGGAGTTTGAATTCAGCCCGGGCAAAATGGTGAAACCCCATCTCTACTAAAAATACAAAAATTAGCTGAGCGTGGTGGCATGCACCTATAATCCCAGCTACTTGGAAGGCTGAGCCAGGAGAATCACTTGAACCCAGGAGGCGGAGGTTTCAGTGAGCCAAGATTGCACCACTATACTCCAGCCTGGGTGACATAGTGAGACTCCAACTCAAAAAAGGAAAAAGGAAAACCTCGTTCCACTTAGACAGTGAGGTCCCCAGTGAGACAAATATCATGTGTACAGATGAGTCGTGAGGCTGCAAAATAGTGTGTTTCTCCCCAGAAACATCACCTCAATATGAACATTTGAGCAGTTTTATAATTTTCCAGTCAACCTAATCCTTTCAATTGCTTCTGAATAGCTTCTTATGTTGGATTATCTCTAAAATGGGTTCTTTCCAACATAATCTTCCTGGTTTCAATTAAGCTTTATTTCACTGAGGATAGCTGCCATAACCCTTTCCAAAGGTTGATTAAATCATCCACCATCCATAGATGGGACTTGCTGCAATACTGCAAGAACATATCCCCTTGCCTTCTCTCTAAAACATAACCACTGTTAGACTTCACAAACAGGTCACTGTGGGTAAGATCGTCATTAGTACCTTCTAAGTTTAGTCAGTTCCTTTTTAAAGCCTTCTCTGATTTCTCCCTGTATTCCCAAAATATTGATTCACACAGGTTTGTGTATGATGACTTTTCATACACTTTGTCTCTATCAGACTGAGTTTCTTAAGAGCAAAAACTAGGACTTTTCTTTGTATTTTCATTATGTGGCATAATGTCTGTCAGTGATAAATAAATGAGCAAACCAATGTTTAAAAACCCATTTCTTTTTCTTTTTTTTTAAGACTCCAGCCTGAGCAACTGAGCAAGACTCTTCACAGTGGTGAACAGAGCAAGAATGCTGTGCAGTGGTGCCATGATAGCTCATGCAGCTTTGAGCTCCTGGGCTCAAGCAATCCTCCTGCCTCAGCCTCCTGAGTAACTAGGACTACAGGTGCACGCCACCATGCCCAGCTAATTTTAAAAATATTTTTTGGCTAGGCAAGCTGGCTCATGCCTATAATCCCAGGAGTTCAAGAGCAGCCTGGACAACATAGAGTGACACAGGGTCTACAAAAAAAGTTTTAAAAATTAGCCAAGCATGGTGGTATGCACCTGTGGTCCTACCTACTTGGGAGGCTGAAGTGGGAGGCTCACTTGACTCTGACAGGTTGAGGTTGCAGTCAGAGAACCTTGACTATGCCACTGCACTCCAGCCTGGGTAAAAGAGCAAGGCTCTGCCTTGAAAAAAAAAAAAAAAAAAATTTGGGGTCTATGTTGTCCAGGCTGGTTTCGAACTCCTGACCTCAAGTGATAATCCTGCCTTGGCCTCCTAAAGTGCACAAGCCACCATGCCAGGCCCCAAAACCCACTTTTTTTTTTTTTTTGAGACAGAATCTCACTCTGTCACCCAGGCTGAAGTACAGGGCAACAATCATGGCTCACTGCAGCCTTGACCTCCCAAGCTCAGGTGATTCTCCTGCCTCAGCCTCTCAGCTGGGACCACAGGCATGTGCCATCACACCTAATTTTTATTATTATTATTTGTAGAGACAGGGTCTCCCTATGTTGTCTGGGCTGGTCTCAAACTCCTAGGCTCAAGTGATCTCCCCACCTTGGCCTCCAAAAAGTGCTGAGATTATAGGTGTGAGCCACCACACCCAGCCAAACACCCACTTTTTAAACACTTTGATTAAATGCTTTTGCTTCTCTGTGTCTGCAGCCAAACGCTTCACAGGAACCAAGGGAAACTGCCCAAATGAACTGAGGGAAACTTTTCCTCACTAGTTTCACTATTGTTGGTCCCACTTCCTACATTCTGATCCCTACTTTAAGCATTTAAACACATTACTTTCTCCTTAAACTCCTGCACCCAAAATATAAAATGCTGCTTAGCTGCAAGCAACTTAGATTTAACCTTGTATCTTTCTCTACATGACTCCTCAGATCCATTTCTCCAATCCTCTTTTCTGTGTGTGTGTGCATGTATGTGTGGTGTGGCGTGGTGTGGTGTGTGTAAATAGATACCAACTAGTTACTTTAACAGACTTCATACATAGTAATTTGCTTTTGCAGACAGGCTCTAGACCTAAATGTCAAGCATGTAAAATTGATAAAAGACAACGAGAGGCTGGGTGCAGTGGCTCATGCTGGTAATCCCAGCACAATAAGAGGCCAAGGTGGGCAGATCACTTGAGGTCAAGAGTTTGAGACCAGCCTGGGCAACATGACGAAACCCCATCTCTACTAAAAGTACAAAAATTAGCTGGGTGTGGTGATGCACACCTCTAATCCTAGCTACTCAGGAGGCTGAGACAGGAGAATCACCTGAGCCTGGGAGGCAGAGGTTGCAGTGAGCCAAGACTGCACCACTGCACTGTAGCCTGGGCGACAGAGCGAGACTCCATCTCAAAAAAAAATAAAAACAAAGACAGCGAGAGACTGAGGAACTATTCCAGATTTAAGGAAACTAAACAGATATGACAGGTTAGGAAAAAAATGCATAAATTTTATTAACAATTGTTGTTTAATCTCACCTTTGACTTACCTCTTTTAATATAGTAATACAGTTAATATATGTTTAATACATATATTTAATATAGTTAACACAAATACAAACAATAACAGTGTATGAGATATTAACATTAACATGAGGAGTACATCATCAACTTTGGGAAAATACTGAGAAACAAAGTTAAAATCGGTAGTAGCCTTAATGCCCTAAATACCTCAACACGATCTGGGCTCAGTGGCTTACACCTATAATCCCAGCACTTTAGGAGGCTGAGGCAAGTGGATCACCTGTGGTTGGGAGTTCAAGACCAGTCTGGCCAACATGGTGAAACCCTGTCTCTACTAAAAATACAAAAATTAGTCACATATGGTGGCATGCACCTGTAATCCCAGCTACTCAGGAGGCTGTGGCAGGAGAATCATTTGAACTTGGAAGGTGGAGGTTGCAATGAGCCAAGATCATACCACTGCCCTCCAGCCTGGGCGACACAGTAAGACTCCGTCTCAAAAATGAAAAATAAACAAAAAAAAGGTAGGCCAGGCACAGTGGCTCACGCCTATAATTCAAGCACTTTGGGACACTGAGAAGGCCTGATCCCCTGAGGTCAGGAGTTCAAGATCAGCCTGGCCAACATGGCAAAACCCCATCTTCACTAGAAACACAAAAATTAGCCAGGCATGGTGGGCACCTGTCATCCCAGCTACTTGGAAGGCTGACGGAGAAGTGCTTGAACCCAGGAGGTGGAGGTTATAGTAAGCCAAGATCGTGCCACTGCACTCCAGACTGGGCCAGCCTGTAGATACCTCTACATCTCTAAGTGGTTTACACAGCAGCCAAAAGTTCAGGGACAGAACAGAGTTTGGAAGTTGCTGCTCTAAAACATGGGTTCTATAACTTGAGTGCACTGAATCACCTGAAAAGCTTATTAAAAAACAGATTTCTGGGTCCCTCCACACCAGAATTCCTGATTCAGTAGTTATAGGACAAGGCCTGAGAATCTGTATTTCTAACAAGTTGTCCGGGTCCCTCCTCTACCAGGGACCACACTTTTGAGAACCATTGCTTTAAATCAATGTTGACTGTTAACCTACCAGATTCCCAAGAACAGAGGAACAATTTGTATTTAACAACTATGTGTACCCTATTATGGCAACATGTTCAATACTGCATAGCTCATAATATGTAATAAAAAAAATAAATGCAAAGGCTTCACAGGAGGTGAGGGACAATCTGAACTCTTCATTTAAGTTCTTATGACAAACTACTTTTTTTTTTTCCTTCAAAGCCGGGTCTCACTCCATTGCTCAGGTTGGAATGCAGTGGTGTGATCTTGGCTCATTGCAACCTCTGCCTCCCGGGTCCAAGCAATTCTCCTATCTCAGCCTCCTGAGTAGCTGAGACTACAAACCACCATGCCTGGCTTTTTTTAGAGAAAGGGTTTCACCAGGCTGGTCTCAAACCCCTAACCTCAAGTGATCCGCCCACCTCAGCTTCCCAAAATGCTAGGATTACAGGCGTGAACCACCGCCTGGACACAAATCATTAAATTTGAAAGGAATTAAAAAAGCATGTAAAGGAGAATGAGAGATCAAGAGCCAAAATAAATCTAAAAACGAAATGTGGTAAACGGAGGAAGTAACCATTTGAATACCTAATCACTACCTCCATTATCAATTCTCAGTGCCTAACCCAGTAATTCCATTCAATTAAACTTGTTGAGTACAATATAAATAACTTATTTATTCAGTGTCTTCTACCTCTCAAATTTTCAAGAAATCTGAAAAAAAAAAAAACCAGAAAAAAAAACGTAGAATACTTGGCTACATATATTTACTACTTCCATTTGATGAGAAAACAAAAAAAGGAGTGTAAATAGGGGAACGTAAGATTATGGGGGAATTGATGGAGGAGGTAAAACTATGACTTGCAATAAAAATATATGTCTATACTGTGAAGTACCTTTCTTCTCTTGCTTCGGGGCTGTTCTGCGATGTAATTGCAGGTTCTTTTTTCTTTTCATCAAGGTCTTTTTCAGTTGATGGACCATCTGAAAATTATGAAATCTCTTAAGTTGCTAGCTTTTGTAAAATAAAAACAATTAAAATACTGTATGTTAGCAGGCTGTTTGCACAACAACATGAACAAAAATCTTAATTTTCCCACAAGCAGATGAAGTTTGTGTAAGCTATTAGCATATGTACTATTTTTCACAATGCAAGTTCAGTCAACACTCCCAAATAAATTTCCTCATTTGGTGGGAACTACAAATTCATATGCCAGGGGACCCTAAAGGGTAGAAAATATACGGAATGAAGAGATAGGAAGAATATGAAAATATCTGCAGTTACTTTAAAAATAAAAGCACAGGCCGGTACACTGGCTCACACCTGTACTGGCCTGTGCTTTGGGAGGCTGAGGCAGGTGGATCACTTGGGCTCATGAGTTTGAGACCAGCCTGGGCAACATGACAAAATGCTGTCTCTACAAAAAATACAAAAATTAGCCAGGTGTGGTGGTGCACACCTGTAGTCCCAGCTATTCAGGAGGCTGAGGTGGGAGAATGGCTTTTGCCCAGGAGGGGGAAGTTTCAGTGAGCCAAGATTGTGCCACTGCACGCCAGCCTGGGCGATGGAGCCAGACCCTGTCTCAAAATAAAGTAAAATAAAATAAAAATAAAAGCATAAAGCATATACAGCAATATTGTTTTAATACTTTTTCATAAAGTTAGAAAATTTAAGGTGGTATCCAAAATATAAATAAATATTTCTGGGAGGGCAAACAAAAAACACTTTCATAGAAAATACCTCAGGATAGTAAGACCTACCGAGCACCTTCTCTATCTTAAATGATCTCTAAAGTAATACAGAGTGCGCAAGCTTTAAGACTTAAAGAGGTAAGCAATTAGGCATTATGCAAAAATACACATAAAATAGGTTGAGTCAATGAAATAGTTTTCCATTTGAATCTCTGGCAGTGAGGCGCAAGCATCTTTATTTTTTGAAGTTCCTTAGACAACTTGAATATATAGTTATCTGGATGAGAATCACTGATAAGAGAATGGTTCAAATCACAACTATAGAACTCATCTTGTAAAGTTGAAGTTTGTCAAACCTAAAATACAATTCAAGCCCTCTGATAAAACATGTACATACACTTTTGTTTTCACATAATTTTACTGTCCTTGTTCTTCTCAGTAATTTACCTTGAAGGCCTCAAATCCCAAAGATGCTATAGCACTGTAACACTGAAAACAAAGATTAATAATGACACATGGCAAGGACTAGAAATGGTCCATAAGTGATAGGGTGGAATGCATTTAAAAGGGAAAACTGCTAGAACAACGAAATATGATCAGCAAGGATCCAATGCTGCCAAAGGGGCAGTAGAACTGCTCTTACACATTGCTCTGGCACAATAAATTAGTGCAATCCTTTTGGAAAGCAGAGCAGTAAGAGGCACGAACAGCCTTAAAAGCGTCCCTACTAGCCGATATGGTGCTGTGGGCAACGCGGCCCAGGCAGCAGGGAAAGAAGTACTCCAGCTCTGGACTCCAACTGCCTGCAGTCAAGTCCCAGCCGGCTATTCACCACCGACTCAACTGTGCGCAAGGCACTGAAGCGCTCAGTGCCTCAGACTCTTCATCATAAAATGGGGATTATAACAGCATCTACTGCATTGGATTGCTTTTGAGGATTAAATGCACTGATACAGGTCAGTGCTTGGCATATCTTAAGTATTCAAAAATGTGCTACCTGGTAGCAGTAGTAGTTAATGTGGAAATCTAGCTAACAATGTGAAGAAAAAGCTTTAGGCAGAAAGATGTCCATCAAGACATTAGTTACAACAGCCATTAAGTAAAAAACAATAATAAATCTAACAACAGGCAAGTGACCAACTAAAATATGGTATAGTCACCTGAATAAATTATTCTGAAACCAATAAAAATGAGTTATGATGGAAAAGCAAAATATTTTCATTAAAAAAGTAAGGTAAATAAGTACACATACAGCATAAGTAAATTTATAGTAGGGACAAAATTTATGCAAACTAAATTTAATAGTAATGGATTATAATCCATTGTACAGAAAAATAATCTGCGAGTCTACGCTAACAGATAAATAGCTAAGGGGTAAAAAGAAGGTTGCTCTTATAACAGAATGATGATTTTATAAATATTGAAGCAGAGAAGTCAGAAAAATCACAATTTTGCAATGACCACTCTACCACTACAAAGATTAGTGTGAGCAAAAATCGATGGATCCTAAATTGGGGGGGGGGGGGGAGGGTCTGTAAGGGTAAAAAAAGGTTCAGGGGATTTTTTTTTTAATTTTTTAAAACTTTTTTTTTTTTTTTTTGAGACTGAGTCTCTCTCTATTGTCAGGCTGGAGTGCAGTGGCACATTCTCGGCTCACTGCAACCTCTGCCTCCCAGGTTCAAGCAATTCTCCTGCCTCAGCCTCCCAAGTAACTGGGATTACAGGCACACGCCACCACACCCAGCTAATTTTTGTATTTTTAGTAGAGATGGGGTTTCACCATGTTGGCCAGGATGGTCTTGATCTCTTGACCTCGTGATCCGCCTGCCTTGGCCTCCCAAAGTGCTGGGATTACATATGTGAGCCACCATGCCCGGCCAGTTTCAGGATCTTAAAAGTGTCTCCCACAGAATGGCTATTAGCTACAAGAGAAAAAACAATACACTATACAGTGTAGCTTTGACTGGATTCTCAAAATTATCATCAATGACTCTGGATATGATACCTTGAGAAGGATGTAACATGCTTACATAGTATTCCAACTTCGGATGTACAACACGATCTAATCACAAGGAAAAAAAAGCAGGTACATCTCAATTACAGAATATGCTATTAAAAACAAAGGAGGGGCCAAACATGATGGCTCACACCTGTAATCCTAACACTCTGGGAGGCCGAGGCAGGCGGATTGCTTGAGCCAGAGTCCGAGACCAGCCTGGAAAACATAATGAGACCTCGTCTCAAATAAATAAATAAATAAATAACGAAGGAGGGCAGTGGTGGAGGTCTGCAGTTCCAGCTACTCAGGAGTCTGAAGTGGAGGAATGCTTGAACCCAGGAGTTAGAGGATTAACCTAGGCAACATAGCAAGACCCCAATCTCTACACAAAACAAAAAAAGTGGTGGGGAAGGTGGTGGATAGAGAAATAAACTTGCTTCAAGGATCCAACTTAAAAATGTGGAGAAGGGCCGGGCGCGGTGGCTCAAGCCTGTAATCCTAGCACTTTGGGAGGCCGAGGCGGGTGGATCACGAGGTCAAGAGATCGAGACCATCCTGGTCAACATAGTGAAACCCCGTCTCTACTACAAATACAAAAATTCAGCTGGGCATGGTGGCGTGTGCCTGTAATCCCAGCTACTCAGGAGGCTGAGGCAGGAGAATTGCCTGAACCCAGGAGGCGGAGGTTGCGGTGAGCCGAAATCGCGCCATTG